CTAGGTTTCCATTCAGCAAAACGCCAGAAGAACTTAAAGATATTTTAGTGTTTCCAAGCTGCTGCATGTACACTGGCTCCATATGATTGGGAAGGCTTAGATTGGTAGCTCCATCGGACGAGTTGGGGAGTGGATGTGGAGATAAATCCTCCTGCCCCTTACTGGATTCATCTTCTGTGCTAGGGTTGCCATCTGACTCACTATGGGGAAAGATGGAAATATATAGATATAACAATATCCAGTGATGTTTTTAAAGCAAGCCGTAAGTCCATTTAAGAGACAGTAAAGATTTAAAAAAATAAATAAAAGTAAAGCCAATCATGAGTAGTGTGAAACTTTACAGATTGGATTGTAGACCTGTAAGTATATTCTCTCTCTGTGGTCATCTACCCCAAATAATCAAAGGGAACTGCCTCAGGGCCATCTCTTTGCCTGCTAAATTGCCCTATGGAATGATGTGTGCATGTGTGAAATCCAGCAAGCCGAGGAGCAGCCATTTGGTAAAGTTATACTATGCCTTGTGGCAGCTGTAAGAGGTAAACCAGGGTCCCAGTGAGCACCGTTAAACCCTGAAAGTATCTACTGTCTCCTGTTAAATAAAGCGAAGCTCACTGGACTCTCTGATATTCTAAAGGGGAGACTGGGACCACCCCCAAATACCTCACACCTGGTTGCATTTCTTGAATGTCTAGATCTATCATGAAAACTTCATTCTGTTCCAATTTCTCCTTTCTCAAAAGGAGGAAAGTGACCCACTAGTACCTTAATTTACAAAAGAGACAAAGAAAATATTCCAGACTTCCCAGGGGGCGGGAGGGGGACTCTATTGTGGTTGCATATAGTATGATCACACATCCTGGTATTTGGTTAATTTTTATCTCTGAAGAATGGGATTACTCAGACTGCCACCAGCCTTTAAAAGCAGCACTGCTTTGATTTATTAGTTGAGACCGAACCTATCTAACAGTTTGAGAGTGACTGGTGGAGGCAGATCCAAAGAGGGCTCCAGCCGAACTCCTCCTCCAGGTGCTTGGAAATGAAAAAGAAGGGTACCTCTTTCCTCTCTCCTTTGTGCAGGGGGGCAATTAATATTGGAAAGGATTTGGTGATCAAAACCTCCATAGAACACACACAGGAGTTTTTGCCAACGGAGGATCTCAACAACCTCCCCATAAGCCTTAGGGGTTGGGGAGATGGGGTGTTAAATGTGCTGTGTGCCATCTAAATCCCCCCTTGTCTTCCAAAACCCCAGTACACAGGTTCCCTCTGTTTCTGAGCCACCCAGGGCTTGGCTTTTGCTGACTTGTCTGCTCTGGAGTGCATTTTTCTTTCCTAGTTTTTGTTGTTGGTTGCTCGCTCTCTCTCTCCACAGCCGTTTGTCCCTTTGATGTGTCCCGAAAAAAAAAGGGGGGGGGGAAAGAGAGAGGCTTGGATCAGCACAATCGCGCCCTTGGTTGAGAAATGCCTTGAGGCCTTTTTCTGCCCACAGCCTTCGGAAAGGAAGGAAGGGGGCTGGAATGTGGCTTGTATGCAGGAAGGTCACCTCCACCTGGCCGGCTCAAGGCGGTGGATTCCCCCTAGCGGCCCCACTCCCAGCCCCTATGTCCCATTAGCCCACAAAGCAGCAACGTGTATGGAGCCAAGGCCGTGCCTGGGTTCCATGCCCCAGAGCCAGGGCAGGGCTTACTGGGCACAGGCATGGAGCTGGGGGAGCCTGTTGTTGCGTCAAAATTGCAGGGACACAGGTAAAGGGTGAAGAACGTGGGAAAAACCAGCTGACTGCGGGGCGCAGAGCCCCCCCCCTCCAATATTCTATCGATTAAGCCCCAGCCAGCACCAGGAGACCCCCACTCGAAGGAGGCCCGTGGGAATCTTCCCATTGACTTCAGCCGGCTTTGGCTCAGGCCCGGTGGGAGCCAAGCTAGGATCGCAGTGAAACCCGATCCGAACCCGCTCAGAATCAGATTTCAAAACAGAGCAGCGGCCACCAGACGCCCCCGCCCCCACGACTTAAAAAACTCGGCAAATGATTAACTCTGTCAAATAAAAAGCTGCCCCACTCCCGCAGGCATTGCACAGCCCAGCCGGGCGCAGTGTCTGCCCGTGCGGGGGGTGTGTATGCGTAGCAGAGAGCTGCGATTTTGAGGGGGGGGTGCGTGTGTTGGGGAGAGGGGGGGGCACTTAGCAACTTCTCAGCCGCGATCACACGCTGCATGTGAGTTGGGGGGCGCAGACCTGCACCGAGTTGGTTGGGTGGAAACTTCCCTGCGATCGCCCGCTTCCCGCACACACACGGCCTGGGGTGGGGGCAGTGCAGGGACTGTGTGGCTCCGGGGAGAAAGTGAAAGTTGGGGGAGGAGGAGGAGACCTGAGCTCCGGTCCGGTGCCCAGTCCGAGGGCCGGTCGGCCGGGTGGGGGTGCGTGCAGGAGCAGGCTGCTGAAGGTAAGCGCCATGTTTGCACGGGAAGAAAGAGCCCGGAGCGGGCGGGCGAGCGAGCGGGCGAGGAAAGTTGGCGCTCACCTTTTGGACTGGGTCTCGGAGGGGTTGCGGTCCCGCTGCCGCCGGTTCTTGAACCAGTTGCTGACCTGGGTGAGGGAGAGCCCGGTGATCTTGGCCAGGTTCCGCTTCTCGGCCGGCGACGGGTACCGGTTCTGCTTGTAGAGCTCCTTCAGCGCGTTGCGGGACCTCTCCTTGAAGCAATACACTGTCTCCTCGCCGTCCCAGATGGTCCTGGGCAAGGGGAACTTCCTCCGCAGCCGGTACTTGTCCACCGCCCCCAGGGGTCTGCCCCGGGCTCGCTCCGCCTCGGTGTAGCGAGCCTTGTACCACAGCTCCTGCAGCAGCGGGTGGTTGGAGGAGTCGAAGCTGTGGCCCTCCAGGATGCTGTAGAGCTCCGGGTAGATGCCCTGGTGGAAAGCCACCAGCGCCCGGGCTTTCATCAGGCTCTCGTTGCCACGTAGCAGATCGCTCTGGGGCAAAGACCACAGGAACCTGGCCAGGCGGTCCAGGTTCCCACCTTGCTGCAGCGCCTCGCAGACACAGGCTACATGATCCGGGGAGAAAGCCAGGGGGGTCTGGGAGGAGGAAGGAGGAGGAGGAGGAGGCGGCAGCATGGTGATTCCTGGCCAGAAGTTCAGTGTGGAGCAAGAGCTGATCCGCAGCTCCCTCCTCCCCAGCCGCGGAGCCTGCTTGCTCCATGGGGAAAGGGGCAGCGGGCGGCGGTGCAGGGTTGCGGGCTGCCCTTTCCTGGGGCACCGTGCCTGCTTCGGAGTGGATTTCCATCACATTCTCTTGCTTGATCTCCACCGCGCTCGGGAGCTTGTCTGTGGGGGAGGCAGAAGACATGTTTCCCCCCCTTTCTCTCTCTCCGCAAAGTCCACTCCTCCTGCTTTCGGCTGGATCTAGCCGATCAGGTTTCCTCCCGGCCACGCAGTAACCATTAAGATAGCTGCTATAGCAAAGTAGTGTAAACGGATCGCTCCTCTCCGCGGCTCCCCCCAACGTGACTCCTCCGCTCGCTGCATACTATATGGCACAAGCAGCCTGCGGGCCCAGCCGAGCCCACTCATTGGCCATTTCACATTTTGGGGGCGGAGGATCCGCGGTTTCTATAGAAACCGTCAATCAAACTCCCTTATTCACCCCCCCCCCGCTTGAAACACCTATACCTGAAGTTAGAAAGGGTTGATGGGGTTTTGTTTTTTCCTCTTGTGTTTGTTAGTCAGGTTACGTTACTTAAAGGACGTTTCAGCACTATAAAGCAGGAAAGTTCATTATTAGCAGAGCAAAGGAAAGCTCAACACAATGATTATTAAACAGGGGAGGAAGTCACATTTTAAAATGAGTTGGCCACACTAGAAATATAAACCAGAGAACATGTTGCCACAGCAGAATTACAGCATATGCATGTGGAGATGGGATCATTTTATTGATTTATTTATTTATTCCTCCGACCCCCTTTAAAACACAGCAGCTCCTCAAGAAGATTAAACAGTAAAAAAAAACCCAAACAAAAATTCCAAGATCAAATGGGATTGTGAAAGATCAAGAAGAATCTGTGGCAAACACTTAAATGAAGATGTTATGTAGCGTCTTATTTTTCAAATGTTAAAGCATATACTATAAATAGCGTGGCATAAATACACAAAACATGAAAGAAATGAAATGAAACTATACTCCTAACCTTAAATCACCCAGAGTTGGCAAGTAAAGCAAGATGGACATGATACAGCAAGGCAAATAAAATATCAAAGCAAGACGAGTAATCCCTGATGATGAGCAGCAAAAGCTGATCCAAACATCTGATTATAAGAGCGACTAGGTTCAGTGCATGAGCAAGAAAAAACTTTATCTGCACAGTGTACATTCTTTTCTATTCTCTTTTAAAAATTTGTACTATTATTCATTGATTCTATTATCTGTTGAGAGCATAAAAAGCAAGTTATTTGAATCACTAGAGCCCCACGCTTAAAATAAAGTCATAATGGAGTGTGGTTTATTATTTATGATAAGTACCAAAGAAAACAGAAAAGAGTAATCAAATGCAAAATGCTAAAAATAGCCCTTTCCTCCGTTTCAATGGTTTGATCTATCAATTCCCCCCCTCTCTACACTTCATACAAATAGCAAATCTGGGTGTTTTTGAGGACATGCTGTATAGCACCTGAAATTCTTTCCTAACATGCTAAGTGTTGAGTATAACAATCCGTTGAATAGTTTTACAGGATCAGACTGAAAAACCCTGGACTTTATAAGGCTGCATCAGGCTTTTTATAGATATGGTTGTACAGTATGTCTGTCTCTACACTCCTACTGTGATATTTATTTTCATTCTGTGGTATTTAGTTGCATTCGGATTTTTTTTTTAACACCTGTTCCCTTTTCTCACGAGAAGGGACTGGGAGAGATGTTGGGTATGGCACAAACACGACGCACAACTGCCTTTTTGTCTCCCCCTTTTCACAAAGCACATGAGGTTAGCAGCTTCTCTGCTGCAGCAACACGCCTCCTCTGAGCGGAACGGTTGCTCTGCGGAGTTAAAGCCCCGGCCGGGCCCTGTTTGGCGTGACAGTGCTTTGAGGAGGGAGGGGTGGGAAGGAGCTGGTGCCTGGCAGGAGGGCGTGGAGGCGACCATGGATGACCAGGGCTGCCCGCGGTGCAAGACCACCAAGTACCGGAACCCTTCCCTGAAGCTGATGGTGAATGTCTGCGGGCACACGCTGTAAGTGCTGCTGCACGCGGGCCCTGGGGAGGA